AAAGAAAACAAAAAAAACAAATCAAAAAAAAAAAAAAAGCCCCCCCCCCCCCCCCCCCCCCCCCCCCCAGCTTCTGTGTGAGCTGTAACGTTAACAATTTAAATGTGAGCAATAAACAACCCGGGTGAAACAAAGTGTTATCATGAAGCGCTGCAGTGTGGTGATCTATTGGAGACGCATGGAGTTTTTAATATGTTCTCATCACTTTAACAGGTGAGTTGACCAAATATTTACAACCCAAAAACTCAGAGTATCTCTTGAATGTCAAGTGTTGAACACCCATCTACTGCATGAGTGAATCACAGAGCATTATCTCCACCACACGCTATGTTTAAATACAATATTGTTTTATGTTATTGGGGGAAATGCTTGTGTGTTGTTTGTCTTCTGTCCTCTTGTTCTGTACAAATATTTAAAAAATATCCACACATTCATCCTTGATTGCGTGAGCTCCAAAACAACTTACAAGATATATTTTTATATATATAGTTTTTTAAGATTCAGCAGACTAAAAAGTCAGATTAAAAATGCAGTGCATCTAAATGAATCTATTATTTATTAGCACACCCAGTCAAACCGCAGAAAGAGGAAACTCGAGCACATCAAGGATGGATCTTGGATCTTCTGATCCGAGTCGATCAAAGCGTGCGTGCGTGTGTGTGTGTGTGTGTGTGTGTGTGTGTGTGTGTGTGTGTGTGTGTGGGGTTTCTTCATCCGGCCTTCACTCTCTTGATTCTCTGATGTCATTGTACAATATCCTGATTGATTAAACATGTATGTTTGGCGTCTGTGTCCTGAAGCACCGGTGGTTGTGTGTGTAAGTTATTTTTACTATCAGAGACCAGAGTTTCTCACAGCCAAGCCCGGCACCTCAAACAAATCATTTTATCTGAGCTGCTGGTCGATCTCCTTCCTCAAAAAACAGAAAATAAACTCTATTGCAAGAAGGGGGGGGTGCAAATAAAGACCTTCCACTGGACTTTAATTCTCTGACAGAGGAAGGTGCACATCATTTCCAACTGGACCCCTTTTTCTGCTGGTTTGGTATCGCACACTTTAGTCTCTGCAAGCCTTAAAGTGCCAAAACAAGATGGTCTCCACCGCCACGTTCCTCATCCTAATTGGCTCAACGTTTGTGGTCTTTGCCGATGAAAAAGAAAGTTTATTAGAGGTTTCACGATATCTGATTTGCTCTCCTTTGCGTGCTGATGAAGCGGTGTTAACAAAAAGCTGCTTATGATTCCCAAACATTTCCTGCTGCTGATGCTTCAGATCAAAAGTTGGACTTTTATCACACAGCAGCTAAAAGAAAAGCGAGTCGTCACAACTTTATTTAAAGCTGGGGCTCGACATGCAAAGTTCAAACCACTGGCGTCAGTCGATTGGCGCTCGCGTAACTCATTTAGATCAAACACTGAATACATCAAATGGAAAGCCCAGCGAGCATCCTGTCCACGCCGTCCTCACGTCCCAAAAATCGAAGAGTTCAGAGGTCGCGATCGTTCAAATCAGTCAGAAACTGCTGCAATAATCTCCCTGGAGGTGAGGCGGAGGAGGCCTCAATGTGTGACTGGCTTGGGTGTGAGACTGGTTCTGAGTCTTCTCCTGTCCAATCCCCCTCTCTGTGTGTGTGTGTGTGTGTGTGTGTGTGTGTGTGTGTGTGTGTGTGT